AGCACGAACTTCTCGCACAAGAAACAACACCGCCTTACATGGAAACCACCAATCTCTTCACTGCGCTGGATTCAAATTGACCACATTGCCATCAGCCACCGCTGTCGAGGATCCATCAAGGAGTACTGCTGTTACTGGGTAATACCTGTGAACACGGACCATACTCTGTTACGAGCCGAATTCTCTCTACATTTGGTAAACAACCGCAGCAAGGTCACCACAAGCGGATGTCAACAATACTAGGTCAGCGGTAATTGCAAATCAGCCTTCGGAGCAAAACTTTCTGATCGTTTTTCATCTCACCCATCAGCCGAACACTGAATGATAATCGAGGAAGCGATCTAAATGTCAATCAAAACAACGGCGGATTCTGGCGCGCGATCAAAGCAAAAACGATGGATTTCACTATCTTCAATTACCCTACTGAACGCTGGCACATCCATTCCCTCGTATGCAGAACTCGACAAAGCGCACAAATCCCTTAAACACCAGCACATCCAGAGTCTAACAAATGACCACGAGAAATGATGGATACGGAAGTGTAAACATATGGACAAGGCTATAAGTATCATACTGCTCATTATCTTTTCCGTCTGTTGAGGAATACGGAATCAAGGAAAGTAGGCGTAAATAAAGTCACAATCATCATCAGTCTTAAGCGATGAGCTAAACACTTTGAGGCGCAGTTCAAGTGGTTGCCATCGACATTAGGCATGCCAACCCCTAAATCAGCCGGAAGATTATTGTCATTTGATCTAAGTTCTCTCTCTGAAATGGATATTCATAGGGAAAGAAATTGTCACAAAATGTTTAAAGCTTCCGACCCAGATGGGCTGTTTCCATCGGTTCTCAGGGATGGATGTTTAGCCTTAGCCTTAGAGTTGACGAAACTCTTGAAATAAAAATGGGAGAAGGAACAGGTTCCGGAAAAATGATGCGAATCGGTCATCTCACTTATTTACAAAAAATGGTGACAGATCCTTTTGTGAAATCCACAAAGAAATTAGTTCAACTAACATCTCTAAACTTCTCTCTAGCATGTTATTCCGTCAATTTCATGCTCACATGAACGGTGCATGCGTGTGAACCAGGTTGCTTTTAGACCTAGCCGAATTCGTATCGATTACATCATCACTCTTCGTTAAATTTTAGAGCACAGAAACTCCTTTCGTAGTCCAACCATTCTTATCTTCCTAAATTTGAAAGCGGCTTTGGATTCCGTCGAACACTCAACTCTGACGCTGCCTTTCTGAATGGTTTGCCTGATAAGTTTATTTGAATTCCGCGATCTCTTTATAATAATGGCTGAAGCCAATCCCGATCTGACGTTAATTTCTCGCCCATTTATACTACAGCAAGTGGTGTTGGTCCGGGTTACTTTCTCATTTTCTATTTAACTGTCATAGATTTTACTCTTGAGGGAACACTATCCTCGTGTAACTTGTGATCCTTTCCTCCGATTCATTTGACTGTAAATCCTGCCCTGAGAGAGGTTTCCCACGGTGACCGAAACGTCGGCGAATACTTTTCTCTACCGACATCCTCGTGTTATTAACATCATAACATTCACAAAGTGCTTAATAGGTTGAACTCGTGTATTCTCAATTACTTATCTCTCTTCATTCAGTGCACTGTAAATAGGTTGAAGCAAAGCGATTGCTGACTTCGGTCACAGAGGAGAAAGGTTGCACACAACCAAGATGAAGAATGGGACGCTTTTGGCTCACGTTACCCACCAGCACCCTATCGGCATCAATTTTCGTAATTATAAATCTGCTACTCATAAGTAGTGTAATGTTGGAGTCACTTACATAAAATTACAGATGATCAATAGGTAAGGTGCAATGATGACATAGTACCCAATAAATTGTATTAACACGGATTAGGACGTACGTCATTTGTAATCGTTTTTATATAAAAATCAAACCACATCCATGTGTTACCATGTAATGTCTCCAACAGATCCGGTATCATTATTTAAGCGCCCTTTAATACCAATCGAAAAGGATTCCATAACAACTTCTACTCCCAGTTGCGGAATCAATGAACGCACAAAGATCTCGCAATACGTACTGTATTGTATTCTATTGTATTTCACACACGTCTGTGGCCACACTGTGTTCCAAACAAATCATGGTACCACCGTATGACGCTCTCCCTGCAAATGCATAACACCCCCACACGTACGTTCACGTTTCGTCGGCAGCAATACCCTGTCTTGCATATACTCCATACAAGCTTCACCTTTCATTTCATGCAAGAAAGAATATATGCTATGACTCTTCTACAAAAGACGCAAAAATACACAATGATATCGCCTTACTGGGTGATAACGCGCCAACGATTCAAGAGTCATTGACCCGTTTGGCTATTGAGGTTACTCGCTATGGTATGTCCTTCCCACCCTCAAAGTGCAAAGTGTTGTTGTAAGATTGACGGGAATCCATTCCTGCACTNNNNGAAAGCTTTGTCTACCTTGGGAGTTGCATAACGGTTGGCGGAGGTGTGGGTGAGGAGATCTCTCAACGCGTGGCCAAAGCTAGATTAGCGTTTGCTAATCTGTGGCATCCTTGGCGCCGGCGCGACATATCCCTTTCGCTGAAATGGCATGTGTATTGCACAACGGTACGCACCGTGTTGCTCTATGGCTGCGAGACCTGGCCTTTCCGGGCAGATCACGTCCAGCGACTTTCGGTCTTCGACAACCGCTATCTGCTCAACATCGCCCGCGTATGGTAGGAGCATCGCGTGAATAACGATGAAGTCAAACGACGAGTGCTGGGATCAGATAGTTTTCCTTTGGACAAAATAATTTCACAGCATCGTCTTAGGTGTCTAGGGCGCATCCTACGAGTGCCTGAGCACTGTCTGTCACACCGTGCACTATTCGCAGACATCGGTCCAGCCTGGAAGAAACAGGAAGGTGGGCAGGCTAAGAAGTGGCTCAGAGGGTTGAAGAGTTTATACTCGGATCTGGCTTCCGTTGGGGTTTCCCGGCTCCCCGGCTGGTGTCCCAATGATTCGGATTGTCTTTAGATGAAGACACTGTGGGATATGGCATCAAACCGAAGTCAGTGGCACGAATGCTTCCTCTCCTGTTTGCAATCCCAAAAATAAACAAAAAAACGAAAAAACTCATAATGGCGTGCAGTACACAAACAAAAAAATGTTACTCCCCGAAGATGACTGTTTTATTTTTCCTGCTTTTCTACCCATATTTTTTCGTTCGTGCATGCTTAGTTTGGTGTCGTACTTGTAAAAAGTGGTGTTATATATATATATTTATATAATGTTAGAAACAGGGATAGGTTATCTGCCTCGACAGCAGTCTTCAGTTGTCAGGGCGCAGCATCTATTATCGGCAACTGGCAAATACTATTGGGGGTCAACTCTGTGGAGTATACACAAAAGCTACTGCCTCCATTGCTCAAAAATGAAGAAGGACAAATAGAACATTGAAAAAATGAAATTACAATACACATCCGGCCCATGAGTCATTTTGATAAATAAATTTTAGTTATGCTTTTTATTGAGGCTTCATTATTTTGTCACTGCACCACAAGCGTCGACGAACTCGAGAAATCTTACAATTTATTGGCATTCGATTCAAAGAAGCAGAAACATAAGTGTATATTAGTACAGATGTGTATGAGGTATCTTTCGCCTTCCAGGTTGGGGTCTGAAAGACTCCACAACTGGTTGGTTATCGACATTGAAGGATATGGCAGCGAACTGGCAGCGGTGGCATTCTTGTTGTTGTTTCTTATCAGGTCAGAATGCTTGAAACGGTATGTAGCAGAGTTCGATTGTGTACTCTGTGTGTTGACCATAGTGGCTCACCTTCTCCCTCCCTCAAAATAAATCCAATCCCTATCCACCTTAAATTTCACCACTAACCTTGTGCGCATTGCGAGTTTGGCAGCGATCAGCGAAGTTCTCTTCACTGTATTTCGCTGTACGATGATGATGATGACAGATGTGTTGCGTCTGGTGTGAGGCAGTCTCATCATATTCAATCCCGTGAATGACGCTTGGAACTTTAAATGTTGGTTGAAACAAATGTGATGAAAGTCATGGTGGTGCACTAGTTTGGTCAACACCTGTATGTAAAATCAGTTTTATGATTAGTTAACAGTAACTGTTCGCCTTCGATCTTGTATTCTAAGATCATGTTCTTTATGATTTACACTACTCACAAGTAGTCCATCATCTAATGGTGTGTTTCTACCGTTTGACCGATACCTATTCGTGATTTACTTTGATCTCAATGTATTACTTTCAACAAGACATGATTGCGTGTTTTCTAATCGGTTTATCATACTTTATTCATCCTCCTCATCCATCTACATTAGCTAAGCCGGACAAGTCTGCTAGTGAGATTCTGGACTTGCCGGATAGCGAATCATGGGAGGTGCAGTTGAACCATCTCCTTTCCGATGTGCTTCCAGCAGCTGGGTTTGAACTGGTCACCTGGACTCGAGTCCCGTATCTGTGTGAGGGCGATTTCACTCAATCGTTTTACTATCTGAACGATTTGGTTCTCGTGTTCCGTGTGCGACACACACTGGTCATACAATCCGGTGTCGCTTCTCCTCCTCCCACTGAATGAGTAACACGCTCCCAGTCCGCTTTGTTCACCTAATCTATCCCATCCTGCTGTGGGTGTCGGTTTCCTACTCATGATTTCCGGTGATGGTGCCTTTGTTTACGGGCTTTCGGTGTTGGTCGTCCTGCTTGTCCATCGTGATACAGTCTATCCTATTCACCACAGCGGTTCGAAATATGCTATTTCTGGTAGATCGGTGTATGTTGGCCTCTTATCTGACGAATCCACTTTGTATTTGACCAAAGATGCAGGTCTCACGCAACGTGCACTTGCTTCGGGGTTCACCACTTGAAAAACTTATCCCAGTTTGTTAAGAATTTCCGCAAAACCAACGTGTTTTCTGCTGCGATGTCTTACGTGGTTCCCCCTACTGACCTCAACAATGCCTCCTTCTTTTTGCCGAATTTGATGCAACCCAATTTTTAGTATAACTTGCTTATCAACTTTTTTTTTACCTTCTTTCACACAATGTTCTGCTTTCGCCCTCTCTATGTCTAAAAACCGAGTTTTGAATATATTTTTTTCCTCTTCCCTTACCGGCCCATCGTATCCTTTTAATCGTCTTTCAATGAACCCGGACAATCTCGTCGAAAGCTCGGTTTGTTTGTTTTTTTCTATTTATTTTTCAAATTATTGCTTTTAATTTTGTGCAATCCACCATTGTAATAATGAAGCAATCATATACATTATATTTCCCATCTGCCGCCGCCGTCCGCAATTCAATATGGGTTTAACAGGGTAGAATCTAACGAGAGAACCACTAGCATTGCATGATTCATGACTGTTTTATTGGCATCCACCGTGGTGGACAGTGAATCACTAGCTGGAACTCAGCGAAAGATGAAGGTATGCGTAACCTACTCTCTAAGAACTAGTAAAAAAGAGGATAAAAGTTCTCAAGATTTAAGTACGACTCGGTATTCCCACGAATGCTTTTACCGTGGCAAGCAAGAGTAGTTTTCGTGTAAAATTCAAGTAAAAAATCATTTGTGCACCACCTATAGAGATTCGTCTCTAAATTGACTTTTGTACGGGGATGATGTTGCAACGGTGCGCTATTCTATGCGTGAATCCTTAAACTATCTATCTCATCTTGCGAGTCATTTTGCCTAACCGCCAGAAATTCGATTGAAGCTACGTGTCGAAAAATGATGCATTCACTCAATATGTTCTCGATGCGCTACACTACACGGATTCATCAATGAGTGGTACGGGATGTATACAAACCGTTTTCCCACAGTGAGATGGCTTTACTGGCAAACTTGTCAATTGGTATTAAGTTTACGATACTACCAACTCGGGCCAGCTTTCACCTCCGTGCTTTTTTGATTACACACCTAAATGTGATGAACTCCAGACGGTGTGAACCCCATAGTCACGAGGACCTGCTGTTCAGTAGTGGAAACCGGCAACCTAAACCCCGGGACTTGGAGTGGCGAACCACATAAGGCCCCGATAGGTTAGGCTTGGTATTGAACCGGACACTTAACATGCATTCCTTATTCACTCATGCGACTGACTAGGTTGTTTCACGTGTTTTGTGCGTCTATGAAGTCTCGTTCTCGGCTCGGCAAATTATCGTCACTGACGGAAGAAGAGAATGATTTTGGCTGCGGACTTCATTATATTCGTAGGAGCCAGCCATTGGCATATTTCCTCATACTACACTGATAATGGAATGATCGGTAATCCCGAAATTCATCGGAAGTACACCAGGCTGAACGCAGTTACGGCGAACGGTAGTTGGGCGAGCAAATGTGCTTCGTATTGTGATATTTGATAAAAATCAAAACATTGGGAAATTTTGATCTCTCAGTTCGGATCGGAACATGCTGGAGTCGAGGAAATCCGCTTTCAAGTCATCACGTTGCCACCCAAAGTGTCGGGATGCACAGATTGTTGATTGTTGTTTTCACCTCGAACTGTCTCTCTCATCCGCCTGGCATGATGTAGTTTTCCAGATTGATTGTCACAAAGCCTTACATTTTGCGGCATTGTCGACCGCTTCTAAACGATGCTCTAACACAAAATTTGTTTTTAGCTCACATTCGTTTTCCAGTAATGTTTAACAAGATTTTTCATTCTTTTTACTACACAATAGCAATTACATTAAAAAAGAAAACCCCATGGACAAATAGCATAGTATAAAAGAGAGAGTTGGAGAACATTCACGTAAAATCCAGCTTATTCATTCTGCGTTTAAAAGTGTAAGATTGTAATTGGAGTAAAACAGCAAGTGGGACGGTGTTCCACAGTTTGGCAGTTCGGGGGAAAAAATAAGTTTGGAGCAGAGAGGTACGATATCGGGGAACAGAAATCTGANGAAATCCCCATTGACAAATAGCATACTGTAAAGGGGAGAGTATGGGAACATTCAGTAATATCCAGTTTATTCATTCTGAGTTTAAAAAGTGTATGATTGTGAGTTGGGGGGAAATAAAAAGGAGGAGGGTGTTCCACAGTTTGTCAGTTCGGGGGAAAAAGAAGATTGGAGTAGAGAAGTACGATACCTGGGAACAGAAACCTGATAAGGATGATTAGATGCCTGTGAACGGGATGGGCGGGTAAAAGTTGCAGGAAGAGGAACTGCCGAGGCATGTTCCGAAGAACAAAAACCAAAGTAGTAGCGGTAGAACAGGGACAATAAAGCAACTACCCGACAATGGGTTAGCGACTGTAGACTGGATATCGGAGAAGGATCATCAATTAGCCGGATGGCCTTTCGTTGAACACGATCAAGAAAAGGACGAAAACCCACCACACACGTGACTACAGTATTCAAGAGCAGGGTGGATTTGAGCTTTGTACAATAGAATAAGATGAGCTGGGGTGAAAAAATGTGTGGCACGAAATAGAAATCCAACTTTGCGCGCAGCACGAGAAGGAAGCTTGGTTATAAAAAGCGACCAGCATAAAGAAGAAGTTATAGACAATCCAAGAAGAGAAACAGAGTCTGTGGGACGCAGTTGGGTGGAATCAAAAGAAAAATGAGGGGAGAATGAATGGTGTTTCAATGAAATTGAAAGAAGAGAGGTTTCAGAACTATTGAACGAAACGCGGTTTGCAATTCCCCAGGAGGATATGTGCTCGAGATGGGAGTTCAGTGGCACATTAACTGCACTATGGCCACCATCGATTTTGGTTTGGGCATGGCGAACAGTGCGGTAGCAGCGGGAGCAGTGGAGGGTGATGTCATTGGTAAAAGAGTGGATCAGGTTGGTAGTTTGGTAATGGAGATCATTGATAAATAGAAGGAATAGGGTGGGCGCAAGCAATGAACCTTGGGGAACACCTACGTTCACAGGGAACCCCATCAACTCGGACGACGATGGTTCGTTTATTGAGGAGACTTGATATCCACGCTACGAGCACTAGAGGGGACCCGAACATGGGTAGTTTCGCCAGTAGACCTTCGTGCCAAACTCGGTCGAAGACCTTTGATATGTCAAGCGAGACCAAGTGTATTTCTCCGTGGTTATCGAGTGGAGCTGACCAGGATTGTGAGACAAGAGGCAGTAGGTCATTGGTGGAACGACGCGGTTGAAAGCCATACTGGCGGTCACTCAGTAGTCCTTCACGTTCAAGGAGCGTGTGTAGCTGGTCAGAGATGATAGTTTCAAATACGTAGTTTCCAAGAACAGATGTGAGGGAAATGGGTCGGCAACTGTTTGGGTTAGGAAGGTCGTCGCATTTGGGAATGGGAAATCTCACGACTTGTTTCCAGGGGGTTGCAAAGGAAGAACGTTGGAGGGAAAGACTGAAAAGATGACGTAAAATAGGAGCCAGCTCGGGAGCACACATTTTGAGGACGATGGGTGAAATACCGTCCGGACCGGGTTATTTGTATGCGTTTAGAGAGCGCAACGTTTAACGGATTATCCTAGTGCTGATATGAGGTATAAAAGGGTTACCAGTGAAGAAGGAAGGTGAAGGTGTAGAAAAATGGGATAAGGTGAAATTGGCGGCAAACTGGGTAGCAAAAGCTCAGCTTTCTCGTTTGGTTGACATTCAAGATCACCAGAGGAATTGCAGATAGGAGGGAAGTTGGCAGGGCGGGAAATTGCTTTGGCGAGGGACCAAAATGTTCGGCTACCGATGGCGGACGGCTTTACGGTGAACGAAGCGTTGTTTGTTTCCCTGAATGGTCGTCGAGCATCTGTTCCTAGCCTGCACGAAGCGATGATAGGCGAAGGGGGTGGGCGAGCGGCGGAAGGCTGAGCGTTTCAGGTGTACAGCACGGTCACATGCATGGTTAAACGGCTCAGGGTATAAGGTTTTGCTGGGTTTGGAAAAACGCGGAATAAAAAGATGCATACTTTGAAGAACAGTGTCCGTGAAGTTGGAAACAGATTTAGAAACACCAATCGTTCCAAGGATAAGCAGCTAGGAACTCACGGAAACTGTCCGAGTTGGTTGAGCTGTAGCGCCAGAATGTGTCTCGAGGCTGGTGGTGTCTCGGGGTTTAAAAGCCTAGTAGAACAAGAAACAGTACAGTGGTCTGATGAGTCGAGAGAAGGTAGGGTACCAATAAATGAGAAGAAAGAGGTGGCCGAAGTGAGAGCTAGAAGAGAAATAGCAGATGAATGTGTCAACCAGTCCTGATTGTGAACGCGCTTAAGTTTAACCCGCTGAATGTTTTGCGCATAGGTCTTTTCCTCCAGTACAAGTTTAGACCCAACTAGGGAAATTTAATTTTATCCGGGATAATGTGTCTGAGAAATGTCTATATCGCATCCATCGACCGAATGGATAATAAATCACTTGATGGTTAGCTACAAAGGTTTTCGTTCCTGAGAACTGTAAAATTTAATTTAGAATTTCGGATCTTTCCAATTGCCCCCGTTCGGTCGGATGATAAGAAAGCGATTCCTTCATTTCCATGTGATCGTCTGACTATGTCCAGGTCTGACGTTTTTCACCAGTAAGCATCCCTATGTTCCATCTAATGTGGACGTTTTCACCCAATGTTCTTCAGTTTGCCCTTCACTCATTCCAGGCTATTT